GCAACACAAAAAATTATCTCCCACCAGAGATGAAAGCATTCTTCACACCAGGAAAGGTAAGCTTAATCACACCTTTGATTGGTAATGTGTTTGTTTTGTTTTTAAAACTCAATTCTGTGTTTTGTTGGCTGAAACATTTCTTCAACTCAGTTTTTGTCATCTCTCACTCCTCCCTCCTCAAGCCCAAGTCGGCTAATGTTTTGGGTGCAGTAAACAAGCCGCTGTCGTCGGCAGGGAAACAGCTCCAAAGCAAGGCTTCTCGCATGGAGACTGCCAGCAACGACAACTCCTCGTCCAACCCAGGCTCCCCACAGCGCAGCAAGACCAGGTACAATCATCTAATGCACATACACTAAGACTCACATGCCACAGAGTGGACCTGCAAACCAAGTTCAAACCCTGAGGAAGCCTTTACCTTCCCGACGTGTTGTCAAGATAGATGCTGAATCCAGTTCCAGGCGTTCAGGTGTTCTGGTCATTGAACCTACATCACAGTACTCTGCATCTGACTATTTACTGAAAGCAAACTGCCTGACAGCAAGACTCTGACAGTGTTTACTGACACATGCTTGTAGACCTCATAGGAACACAGAAAGCAATGTCTTTTGTATCTTGTCACTTTTTGCTCCTTGACTTATATTTCTGTCACATTTCTTAAAATAGTAACAATAATTGCTGTGTTTCAGACATGACAGTACTGAAATGGATCACAGTGAAAACGAGGACTTCAGCCTAAAGAGAGCAGACAGCACTGACAAGGTAATACAGCCTCTTTTGTATAATGATACAATACCTACTGTAATGTGAAACTGGTTATTATAACATAGCAGCCGACTTTGAATTTTGTCCTTTGTTCCTACATTATAATTGAAAGTTACTTGCGAGTGAACATGAACACCTGTTTGGTGATCATATCTAAATTGTTAAGGAGTTTCTCAGACATGCCTGTGTGTAAATATCTTCTAAGGAGTTCAGTAATAATTGTGAAAATGTCTTATTGGGTTATTTGTGCCATCTTGCTGTAATATCTTGCGTTGTCTGAATCTCCTAGCCACAATCCTCTTGAAAATGTTATTGCCTCTAAGTTGGGAACATAATTGTTTTTTTGTTTTTGTTTTTTTTTTTACAGCTGTTTCTAGAAACTGAAGCTTGATTTCCTTTTCATCGCACTAATTTGGTTTTGATTAGGATTCCAAGAAAAAAAGGGGAAAAAATATGACGCAGTGTTCTAGGGCAAGAAGAAATGGGCACGTTGCTGTGATACAGTTGAATGTTCCCGGTCATAAACACTTGTCTCTGTGTTTTGATTTTACTGTGCAAACACCAGTTGGATTTTAGCCAGGATTAGATTAGCATGCCAGCATTGTCCAGGTGACGGTATCTTAAAAATATTGTTTCACAGGAATGTATTGGTGTGTTGGAGGAGAAGATGTTTAAGAATTTTATGATTTCACTAATGATGAAATTTGATAATTAAACATAGCAATATGAGAAGGAATTTGGAAAATGTATTTGATATTTTAGGAATTTGGACTGAGGTACAATCTTGTTTCTCATATTTGCTGAATTAGATGGTGTGTTTTAAGTAGTTTATCTTCAAAGGAAACAAAGCTGTTGTTGAAAACCCAACAGTTTACAACTTTCTTGGGTTGATTTAAAAAAAAAAACAAAAAAAACAAAAAACGACACCATTCAGAAAAGAATAACATTTTTCTGACTTCAATATTAAAAATCATCAACCATTTATTTTTCTTTTACAGGATATTGAAAAGCCTCGTGGTCGCAAACGGGGCATGACTTCCAGTGATGACCAGGAGAGCAAGCCAAAGCGTGGGCGCAAGAAGGCGGCGGCCAACCCAACTGCAGTGGCCGATTCTGAGGACCAGTGGGACGAGGACAATCGGCCAGAGGATGAACAGAACAGCCCGCCGAAAAAAGGACGCAGAGGCCGGCCTCCGAAGTTAATGACTACAAGTCAGGACACGCCTTCCAAGGGGAAGAGGGGACGAAAGAAAGCAGCTCCCCCTCCAGGAGATGAGGAGGAGGAGGAGGAAGAGGAGAGGGGGGAGGAGGAAGCCGAGGAGGAGGAGGAAGAAGATGACAGGAGCAGTGAAAATATGGAGGTGAAGACCAAAGGAGGAAGGCAAGCCAGGGCACCACGGCGATCACAGGGGTAAGAAACAGAAAAGCCTTCCCCATTGACTAAATTCTTAGTAACATCTGAAGATTTCTGTCATCTACACTGATTTTTGACTGTGTTGTTTTTGGGTATCGTCTTTGTTCAACAGCTCGGAGTCGGCAGAGTCCACACCGCAAAAGAGGAGAGGACGACCACCCAAATCAGCTCAGCTACCAGCCAAGAAACCAGCGTAAGATGCTTAATCTAGCTTTTTGATCCTTCAGGCTTATACATAAACTCCGGTCAGCGCGCATTTCTGCATCATTTCTGCATCATAGTGAGGCCTGTGGAATATTGTCTGTGTCTCTGAAAATATTAGCTTTTCTTGAGAAAACTTCTTGGCACAAAGTCGCACAAAGATTTTCTCTCTTGTAAAAGAGTTTCTATTTCAAGAGACTTCCTGGTTAAATAAATAAATAAAATCTGCCAAAGAAGCTTCTTGCCAGCATTTGGCACCTGTCAGGGCATTCTGATTTACTGTATATCTCGTCTGTGGTATCCAGCCGTGGTGGGCGATCGAAGGTAGCTGCTGCGAAAGAGGACTCTGAGGAAGAGGATGAGGAAGAGGAGGAGGAGCAGGAGGATGAGCCAACACCACAGGTACAGAAAATGTTATAGCCTCTAGGAAATCTGGGTCTTTTACTAACTTTAATAGTATAGAAGAAATTATAAGCGCTTGACCAGAGATTTCGCACTACTGCTTTTGTTTTGTAGGGTCGGAAGAAGGTGGCAGGACGAAGAAGATGAGCTAAAAAAAAAAAGAAAAAAAAAAAAAAAAAAAGGAGGACAGAAGACACTGTTTATTCAACAGTCGTGGAGGAATGATGTAGGAAAGAACATATGGACATTGTTGAACTTTTTAAACTTTTCATACGCCGATGCTCCTACTGTTAGACACATTCACACACTTGCATATGCCACTTGCACACTACATCAGTACATCTGTATCATCAGCTGTGGTTTGTTGCATTGTGATGTTCACCACATTAGGTAGAAATCATTTTAACAGAAAAACAAACAAGCTCACTCTTGTAAATAGTCTCTTATGTCTGTTTCATGTTTTGTTGTTGTGTTTGATGCTGACTGGGGGGATGCTGTAAAGCCTTTACCCATTATTATTATTAAAGTGTTTCCTTAAAGCAATGTTGCTTGTCAGTTTTCCCTCTGTGTCCAATTTTTAAGAATTTATTGAGATTAACATGAACATTTTGTGTGATGTTGTCATTCTACTTTAAAAGAAAACTTGCAGTTTTGTTTACAGCTCTGTATATAACCTTTTTTTTTAACCACATGTTGAAACTTTTAAGAAATGTCATACACCTGTCCAAAGTAGAGTTGCCTCTGAAAATGACTGTAATGTGAGTCACATTTTTAGGTTTGTACTTGTAGACAGAAGTCACGAGCAACTGTGGTTGTAGCGTTTGTCACTGCTGATGAACTTGGCTTCACATCCACCCAGTCAGATCCTCCGTTGTATCAATATAATTCTCTATAAAACCTGACTTGCATGAGTTCTCTTTATTTTGTAGTCTTGAATGAGGCAGTTTACTTGTCGACATAATCATAACTGCTTCGGAAGGCTTTGGAGCTTTGCAGCCTACAGGAAGGAATTTGTGTTAAAGTATTGCTTTGCATACACTGCACATGCTACATGTTTGTGAATGAAAGCAGAGGAACAAACTTCTCATTAGTCTTGTGGGTATTTATTGATGTACTTGTTTGCTGGTATTTGAACGAGCACTGATTTTGATATTTGAAGTGTGTCCAGCGTTGAGTTTAAATGACACTTTTGCCTTTTTTGTGTAGTTAACTACACAAATGAATTTGGGCCATTAAAGGAAAGGAATGATTTTTCATTTTTATTTTACCATTGCTTCTCTAACCCTAACCGCTTTTTGGATACGAACATGGGGCTGCTCCTGTGTCATATAGACAAGAGATCCTGCTCAGAGTAGTAAAAGATGGGCCCATATACTGTAGACCAGTGTTCAGGCTGTTCATACTAGATGGTTTTAGTTGAGTTTGTACAACTCAGATGTTGCAGAACTGTCAAACGGTCAAGGTGCACTTGTATAATGCTGTATGTTTTTTATGTTGTAGGTTTATATGACTAGTGCATGGTCAGTTTGATCACTTTTACAAAGTAGTTTGAATTACTTTTTCCTAAGTACCGGTAAAGTGATTGATAGCTTGCAAAGTTACATTTTCAAAGTAGTTCATCCAACACTGGCTGTTTAACTGTTTATTCATTTCAAAAATATTTGAGAGTTCAAAGTACCACAGGTTCAGGACTGGTTGCACCGCCCACACCATGCACTATGCTCACACCTCCTCAGATATTTATGCAGGTGCTATATGGGCCAAGTTGGCCAGCAGTGAGAGGCCTGCGTTTCCAAGCAACCGAGCTGAAAGCAAGAAGATAAGGAAATAATGTGATGCTGCAGGGTACACTCACTCTGATGTTTCCAAATGTCCTGCTCAGCCCTCCTCCCTCTCTCCCCCATCAGGCGCTTCTGACTGAAATTGAATCGGAAAGATATGCAGATCTGTTTTAGTGCTTTTGACACTTGACATTTAAACGAGTTTATATGACCATCATATAACCATTATCATACGATAATGTTTGATACTGGTGCTGTTATCGAAATTATATGAAGGCTTTAGCACCTGGGTCACCCTCCTAGTCTGTCCTTTGAGATATTGCCAAGTTCGGGTAAAATTGTTCATGTAATATGAAAGGCGAGGCTTAAGTTTTTTAACAGATTGAAAACAGAAATGGCTCTGAGCACTCTTCGATTATCCCTCTAGAGGTGAGAGTAATATGTCGCCGCTTTGCAAAAGATTGATCATTTGAGGCTCTTGATGCTGCGCAGAGCGGCCTTTGCGTTTCAGGTGCTTTGGCTAATAATTAATAGATGTGAAGAGGCGCGGTGTGGTGGGTTCACAGCTGGCTGACTGGCTGCACTCTGCAGTTCAGTCACTGATAGCCTCCAAGTATGGTTAGGACAAGATCAGAGTCAGAAATTGGACACTGAGGGTCAGTATAGACAGGTAGCTACCATGAGTGGTTGGGTCGTCGTCCTCACATTTCTCGCCTTCACCTCCACGGCCGCAAAACCCAACGCTGGTTTGAAAACGTGGGGACGTTTCAGTAAACTGCCCTACCCCGGTGACAAGGCTTTCCTCTACGATAACTTCCCCAGCAATTTCATATGGGCGGTGGGCACGGCGGCGTACCAGGTGGAAGGCGCGTTTGAGAAGGACGGCAAGGGACTCTCCATTTGGGACACTTTTACGCGCGGTGGGAACCGAATGGCCACCGGAGACGTGGGCAGCGACAGTTACCACAACATCCACGCTGACATCCGAGCCATCAGACAGCTCGGTGTCAGCCACTACAGATTTTCACTGTCCTGGGCCAGGATATTTCCCAACGGCACCCGCGGGAGTTACAACGAAGTCGGCACCAACTACTACCGGACGCTGATCAAGAAGCTGAAGGAGATCCGTGTCCAGCCGGTGGTCACCCTCTATCATTGGGACCTGCCCGATCACCTTCAGCAGACCTTCGGCGGCTGGAGTAACCCGGAGCTTGTGGAGATTTTCAAGGACTACGCCGATTTTTGCTTCCAGATTTTCGGGGATGATGTGAAGTACTGGATCACCATTGATAACCCGTTTGTGGTGGCGCGGCATGGCTATGGCACCGGAGTCGTCGCTCCCGGGATTAAGAACGACCCCGATCTCCCATTCCGGATTGGACACAATCTGATCAAGGTGAGTGGGGTAGAGATGTTTCCCTTGCGTTTTCTTTTTATCAGTCATAAATAGATATCCAACTTTAATGTGGTATGTTTAAAAGACTTTCCTATAGGCCCAAGGACAAGGTCAGTTTATTTAGAGCACCTTGCATTCACAAGGAAATTCAAAGCGCTTTACAAAGTAAAACACAATGACAATAACACATAAGGTAAAACAATGAGATAAAATAAACAAGTTAAAAAATAAAAACAACTGGATTGACTCAAAAGCTTGAGAGAACATCCGTGTTTTGAGTTTAGCCTTAAATGTGGCCATGGTTTGGGATTTGTTTAACTTGTATAAATTGTTTATAACATACTACAATGTAGTTACAATCAGATATGTATATTTAAATATTTGTAGCCCAATCTTTGCATGAAATAAAGTTATGGATTTTCTCTTCTTTGTGCTTTTCACTCTTCGACTTCTCTTTTCATCATCATTTCACCGCCCTATCCAACCTCCTCGTCTCCTTCCCTTTGTCTGCCCATCTTTTTTGTCTGTTTTTCCTTCTAGGCTCATGCAGCTGCATGGCATCTTTATGATCGCCACTACCGACCCCGTCAGAAGGGCAAGCTGTCCATGGCGCTGGCCTCTCACTGGATCCAGCCCAGTCGCACCCGTCTGGAAAGCCTGCGCGAATGCCAGTGCTCCCTGGACCACGTGCTGGGCTGGTTCGCACGGCCACTGTTCACTGATGGAGACTATCCTCCCTGCATGAAGGCGAGGCTGGGCTCACGGCTCCCCTCCTTCACTCATGAGGAGAGGGCGCAGGTGAAGGGAACGGCCGACTTCTTCGCGCTCTCTCACGGAGCGACCCTCAGCTTCCAGCTCATCAATGACAGCCTGAAGTTTGGGCAGCAGGAGGATCTGGACCTGAGGATGTTGCTCTACTGGGTCAACGCTGAGTACGACAAGCCGTCCATCTTTGTGGTGCAGAGTGGTTGGTAGGTTTAGATGCTGAGTTGATTGATCTGTGCTTCTGTGATGCGTGGTGGTCTTGCGAGGAATAACATGTTTTCACTGCTGCTCAACACAGGTATGTGCTCGGCAGTACAAAGACAGAAGACCCAAAACACATGTACTACCTGAAGAGGTTTATAGCAGAAGCACTTAAATGTGAGTACAGACACAGCACACCAGGACAGCATGAACATTCAGATACATTTTTGAACCAGCATCTCAGTTCTCATTTCCAATATGGGAGTGAGCAACTTTACACAAAACTGAAATCTTTAGGTTTGGAAAAATGGCTCTGTTTGTTTTTGTCCATGCAGCGATTGTCATAGATGGAGTGAATGTGATTGGATACACAGCCTGGTCTCTGATAGATGGCTTCGAGTGGCACAGAGAATACGGGATACGACGGGGGCTTTACTATGTTGACTTCAACACTCCTGAAATGAAGAGGGAGCCAAAGACTTCTGCCACCTTTTACAGGTAGCACGACTACATGTTAGAACTGAGTGATGGGATGGAGTTGGTTTTGTCTGATACCATCAACAGTAATGGTATTTTTATATGAAAAAAACTGCAGATTGAGATTTCACCACAGACATAGTTTTCCCTCTCAGCACTGCTCTTCCCGAAGTGAATGTCGCTCATTATTCCTACAGGAACGTCATCCACAGGAATGGTTTCCCAGAACTTCCAGAGAACAGACCAGCACAGGGAGTGTTCCCATGTCGTTTTACCTGGGGTGTATCTGCCAACTCCATACAGGTATTTATGTTGTGGA